GAATTTATCATTCTTTATTGTGACTTGTGCATTATTCGAAAATATATATAACTTTACTGATTAAGAAGCATATTATTTCTCTGATAAGTATTTATATGTTATTTTGTTAGAAAATCTTAATTCTATGCTCTTTTTTGTAGGTATTCAAGATGAAATTGAATTTGCAGCACCACAATGCCATCGAGATACTTCTTAATTTTCATTTAGTACTCACTTTTTCATATAGTTAATCATACATGTGTACTTTTACAAATTAGTATTGAGATTTTATCTTTTTGTGTGGAGGATTAATATATTGTATAAACTTACAATTACAATAGTTGTTATATTTAGAAAATATTTATTGGTTAAGTTTATTGGAAGATTAGATGTTTGGTATACATATGGCCGTATGAGTTGTTGAATGCACAAATGCATTATTTCATGTAGTTCTAATAAATAACAAAGTGTTCTATCAATATTATATGATTTTTAAAATTAAATATATATTTTCTAAAGAGGTATTTCGTGAAAGTTGTGGTTATTATTATAAAAATGCCATCATTATTGGATAATTAATTATGCTAGAAAAATGTATAAAAATAACGACGGTTAAATATATTGTCGTTAAAAAATAACGAGTGAGTTACTCGTCATGAATAAGTAACGACGCTATCATGTGTCGTCGTTAATTTTTAACGATGAAGTTTGTCGTTAATAAGTAACGACAACATCTTGTGTCGTCGTTAATTATTAACGATGAACTTGGTCGTAAAAACCAATAACGACGGAGGCAATAACAACAACTGGACGACGAAAAAAAAGTGATCGTTAAAAGCTTTAACGACGAACTTTTGAGCTTATAACGATAAACTTTTTCATTGTTAAAGGTCCTTTTTCTAGTAGTGAGTATAGTATGAGGAGAATTCTGCTACAGGCAAATTTGATGGAAGCACAATTTACACTACGTTGGTATGGTCTCAAACTATCACCCAATAAGTATGATATCACTATTCAAATTACTACTTCGCAGTTTTGAGTAGCTTGTTTGAGCTTACACTCAATGCCTGAGATTATATCATTATGATTTATGTGCACAACTTGTTTATTAATATAATTTGTGCTTCCATTACTATGTATCCTTACAATAGGATTAAATTTCTAGTGTGTATGACTCTATCGAAAGTTAACATGTGTCGGTTCTATACCACAAGTATATACATGCTTCAGGCATTATATCATCTCTAAGACAAAAATAGTTTGTCTCTAAAATAATCGTTTTATAGTGAGTTCTTACGTTCACAGAAAAATATGAATTACTCAACTAGGAATCTCTATAGAGTTTAAGGATTAGATAGTGCTACTATTGAAGCAACATAAAAGTTATTAAATAATCAAATTTGTTTAAGAACATTTAAAGGCTTGTCTCGAAATATTCACTTAAATGAATTTCTTAACATTTACCTTGGCATATAATATCATGTTTAGCACCTTGGCTTTAACGTGTTATATACAACTTGTGGATATTGTCCGCTTTGGCACTTCAGGACCTCACGACTTTGAACGTCTAGCTTTAGGCCCCGCTTATAAACACACACACACACACACACACAATCTTGTGTGTAAGCGATATGGGAACTTCATGTTCATAACACACCCACTTATACATCAAATTTATGCTCTTATAGTGACTTCTAGCACTTTGTTATAATTTCATATATATACTCATTTATGAATTTTGTTTGTTTTCTCCCCATCTAAAGTAGATTAACTTGAGAAAATCATTGTACATAATTACAATAACTTGTGATTTACTAGGCATTATTTGCGTATCCATAGCAATATTTAACTATAATTCAAATATAGTTAAAATCTATATCATGTTTGCTAATCATGTATTTTCTTAAAGTATATCACTTACTTTAATGTTTTATAAAATATTGGATCTATACGAGTCACATTAACTTATCAATTAATATTCAACAATCAAATTGATCAGATATGTGTAATTATATAATGCCCCCAAAACGGCCAAATAATAAATAGAAATATGTGAAACATACCTTCAATCTCCAATGCACTTTTTGCTTGGTTTAATTCAAAGTAGCATGACACATTTTTTTTGTTCAATTAGGTAAGTGCGCACAACAAAGGTAATGAAACGTTACCGGATTGATAATGATTTCATCAAGCATAATTAAGTCAATGAAATACTTCTACGGACACAAAAAAACAACAAGTTTAAAAACAAGTTTAGAAAAATACAACTTTGGGAGCTTATATTAATTGATATCTCATACGGAGTATGAGATTTAAAATCATGAGGGATATAAAACCATGTATCATGAGGCATATTGAAAAATGATACGGAACAAATAGTTCACATGACTTTTGTACTTCCTTCATAGAGAATTATATATATATATATATATATATATATATATATATATATATATATATGTATGTATATATATATATAGAGAGAGAGAGAGAAAGAGGCCTGATCCTGTCCAGCCGGAGGGACAGGACCCGCCGTCCGGCCGTCGCGATTTGGGGCCCTTCCCGGTGGAATTTTTTGCTGAAATATTTTGAGCATGTTTCTCATCAAGTCTAGTTTATCCATAACAAATGTCAGCTAAAAATTCAATCGGGAAGGCAGTCAAATGATTTTTTGAAGTTAACTGTGCAGTTTATATACATATAAAACACAGTTATCTTCCAAAAAGCATTTGAGTGTCTTCCTGGTTGAATTTATAACTGAAATTTGTTATGGATACACTAGACTTAATGAGGAACATGCTCAAAAAATTTCATCAAAAAATTCCACCGGGAAGGGCCTCTGATGGCCTTGGCCGGGCGGTCCCTCCCGTCCCTCCGGAGGGACCTGATCTTTTCTGTATATATATATATATATATATATATATATATATATATATATATATATATATATATATATATATATATATATATATGTATGTATAGGGGTTAGATCACATACAAACTAGTCCTCTCATGCTAACCTACAAACTGTGCATCTCTACATTATTTGCATTGCATATTGATGTCAAAGTGTTGCATATTATTTGCATTGCATATTGAAGTTAAAAATGTTGCATATCATTTGTATTGCATATTGAAGTTCACAGTGTGCATCTTTACATTATTTGTATTGCATATTGAAGTTCAAAGTGTTGCATATTATTGAGTTTGTAGGTTAGTATTTTAAGCATAATTTGTATTTGATCTCTTACACACACACACACACACACACACACACACACACACACACACACACACACACACACACACACACACACACACACACACACACACACACACACACACACACACACACACACACACATATATATATATATATATATATATATAGGTTTAGGTTCAAATGAGAAAAATATCTTAGGAGAGAAATGAGAGAGAACCTCCACCATTAGATCAAACTATAATTACAGATGTTAGAACAAATTTAATATAACACGATCAAGGAGTTTTTTGTAAATTGATATACTCATTTAATATGTGCGGCTTTTTTGGTAATATGCATGTTCCGTTACATTCTTTGTTTATAGTAGCAAACACCAACTTTCTACTTAGTGGGTGTTTTATTATAATACGGAGTATAATAATGATAATATTACTGCGTATTAGGATGTTTTCTTTTGGACTGAAATTTGCTGGTCTGGTCTGGTCTGTTTAAATCTGGTCTGGTCTGGTTTGGTCTGAACTGGTCTGGTCTGGTCTGGTAAACGTCTGGTCTCTGTGTATTTTATAACTAAGAAATTCTGGTCTGGTCTGGTCTGGTATGTTTAAGTCTGGTCTGGTCTGGTCTGGTCTGGGACTGAAAACAATCCAAAAGAAAACATCCTTACTCTTCCCTTTTTTATTTTTTTCTTAATTTGAGTATATTTTTTTATTTCATCCAGGATTTTTACATTTTTATTGAATTACACGTGCACGTATAAAAATGTGCACCTCTTCTAAGATAAAGTGCACGTTTACATGAACAAAAATGCACATGAAATTCAAAAACTATTTTCGTTACTTATATATGTAGAAGGTTAGTTGATGCACTTATGTGATATTATGTTGCAATTTTATATTAGACACCTTAAAAGTGTGAAAAACTTATAAAGTGCATTATAATTTAATTACATGTGCATCTAATTTTGTTGCACTAATTCCGCTTATCCATTGCATAATATTTTGTTGCACAAAATGTGCATACGATTGTTCTACTCCCATTACATATTATAATTAAGTTCAAATTTAGTGCACTACCAATACAAAATTATTGCTCACTTGTAAATTATAATAAATAAATCTAGAATGAAAGTGGATGATAAAGTTTTTAATTAGGTAAGTTGCATAAAAGACCCTTGTACGACAGTTTATGTACACGTCTAGATAATTTTCAATTAGGTAAGTTGCACATTTTCAATTGATAATCTAGATAATAATTTACATTTTAAAGACTCTACGTGAATAAAAGTATGAATAGCAGTGCACGTATTTTTACTCTAATACCCTTATACGAGTTCAGCTTTTAAGTTTCATTTAATATCATTTATTACTTTCCTTTAAAATAGCTATCATAATGCTAATTGTATGAAAAACGTTGACCATTAGATTAGTAATCTCAATGGCTGGATTTTATTCTCATTTCTCTCCTGGGACTTCATTCTCGAGTTTTTTCCCTGGGAGGGATACTTTCAAATCTTATTTCCCAAACTAGGGTAGTTTTAAACTTATTTCCCAAACAAGGGTGTTTTTTGCCTGGTCATCCAGGTGGAACGTGCCACGTCAGCGAAACACGATTAATTCTCATTCCCTTGCCACGTCATGCCTCCATGTCATCCCGTTCACATGTCTCATTCACATGCCTCCAACTGCATTCACCTTGTGTTTCTTACACTTCAGTGACCATATATCTTTTTTTGATTCAACAACTTCATACATGCGATGCCTTTTAAGAGTGTAAACTTGCACAGCCCTTTTCAAATCAACCTTATCCTTAAAAGTTAACCCTTTCTTTAACTCAACACTCGGTGTCCACTCACTAGTTGGTTGTAATAGTGACCAACTACTAGTTACATCTTCATTAATAACATCAATATTTTTGAAAAAGGGAATCATATCTCCACTTTTTCCCTCTCCTGTCTCCCCCTTTTCCTCTTCACTTTCCTGAACGAGTTCCTCATCGTCCTCACTGTTTTCCTCATATTCTCCATCTTCTTCTATATATTCTTCCAAGTCCACAGCCTCATTATCAACATTCATATAAAAAAATATGGCATCTTCAGAGCGAATCATTTCTTCCACTGGATTCATATCTATACTCGGTTCTTCGATTTGCATAGCAAATATTATTATTAACCTGAATTAGTCAACAGGGAAAACATATTTTGGAGATAAAATTGATCTATTTCAAAATGCATAATACAACTAAAGGTACGGGAAAAAATAAAAATGAATTCAGTTGCTAAAATAAAATATTAAAATTGATTTTTTAAAATATTCAAAAACAAATTCAGTTTCTAAGCTTAGAAAAAAAGTTAAGGTGTACCAGAGATTTACAAAGTAAAGGTGTCACTATGAAAAGATGAAAACTTGCTCCTGTATTACTAAAATTTTATTCTTATTATCATGGTAAAAATGCCACAAAGACAAATACATTAAGCAAACTTTCATACAGGTACACCAATAAAATAAGCAAAAGATGAACAAAACAGCAATAAATTGAACCAACCATTGGGCAAGATTATGCTCCCCACATTCGTAGTTGAGATATTCAACCATATTCCTGGTCTAATTGCAAATAAAAGGTCTGATAATTGGGAAATCTCTGTGAATTTGAGATTAGGCTTGCAAAAATTAGGTTGTAATTTGTGAAACAAGAGACTAACCAATAAGTAGGAGCATCGGTGTCTCAAGTGGTGACGTTGAGGAGGAACGGCAATGGAGTTGTGGCCTGTGGACTGAAGGCTGAACCGTCGTTGCACTTGTGCGAATTGGACCACAGAAAGACAGAAAGTCCGCAACTCACAAAACGATTGCCACAACTAATCGTGACCAGAACGCGATGGCAAGGCGATGGAGGGCAGCAGTGATGGTAAGGCGATGGAGGGCAGCAATGATGGTAAGGCGATGGAGGCAACAATGATGTTATGATTGCAGGGCAAGATTATGGGTCAATAGAGATATGACCGAGTAAAATACACTAATGTGTGGAATTGTATTAAATAAATATAAAGAATAGAAGGTAACAACTACTGATGGCAGCAAAGTGGCGTGAGTATGTGGGTTTTTAACGTATGGGCTTGGGTTCGACTCCCAAGAGCTTCAATTTTTTTTTATATTAAAAAACATGTGAACGGGATGACATGGAGGCATGACGTGGCAAGGGAATGAGAATTAATCGTGTTTCGCTGACGTGGCACATCCGACCAGATGACCAGGCAAAAAACACCCCTGTTTGGGAAATAAGTTTAAAACTACCCTAGTTTGGGAAATAAGATTTGAAAGTGCCCCTCCCAGGGAAAAAACTCCTTCATTCTCATTGGAACCATCCCCTATATATATATATATATATATATATATATATATATATAGGGTAAGGTTCAAGTGAGAAGAACCCTTTGGGTGAGAAATGAGAATGAATCTCAGCCATTGGATTCGACTAAGTTGCAGTAAAAGACACTTCATGATGCACTGAAATATGCAATCTAGCACGGTGGCATTTCTGTAAATACTTCTGAAAAATCCGTATTACACGTGTCTAGTGCAACATGAAGCTATTTCGGTGCAACGCCGTCAAATATTAGTGCAACATGAAACAGTTTTAGTGCAACATGTGCAAAATTTAAATATTACTGCAACATAAAGCCAATTTTAGTGCAACTTCGTAAATCCAATGGATGAGATTCATTCTCATTTCTCACATTAGATGCATTTCTCACCTGAACCAAAATCTATATATATATATATATATATATATATATATATATATATATATATATATATATATATATATATATATATATATATATATATATATATATATATATATATAGGGGTGGGTTCCAATGAGAATGGACTCCTGGGAGAGAAATGAGAATGATATATGGCCGTCCATTATTTCAATCGTGTGGTTAAGATGAGAGATTTGGCCGTTTAAAAACAGCACGTGATGCGTGCGTGTTGCAATTAAAAATGCCAACCGTGCATTTAGAAAGGCTGGAAAGGGTAATTGTGTAAAACACTTCAGTGTTTAATTATGGCGATTCGGCGCACCAATTCCCATATGGAAAGAATCCTGGTTAATGTGCCTATATTTTTGTAAAAAGAAACTTCCTTCTGAGAGTTGGACTGTGAATAGAGCTCGAGAGACGCAGAGCAGAAGTAATCCAAGCGCGACCAGAAGGCCCTGAATAACGATGGCGCAGAGCAACAAAAGCGAGAGAGCATCAGGAAGTTATAAGAGTGCTAAAGGTACGCCGATTGCTCTGCTCGATTTGGTGAATATGTTTTTGGGTTTTACATTTTTGGGTTATAGATTTCTTGCTTGTTGAAAGTAGTCGATTTTCATTACGTTTTAGAATCATTTTAATGAGGAATTATAAAAAGTGCTGAAAAAATATCTGTCTTCCCGTCCGCTACTGTTGTTGTTCATAGTTTTAATGAAAGAGTGCAAATAGAAGATTGTATATATGATCAACAGAGACGTGAGGATATATTAAGAACGCAAAGTGCATTGAAATTGTAATATTTTAGATTCATTGAATGAAGGCTCAAAAAATTGTAATAATGTGCCTTGTGATTTTTTTTTTTAGAAAATAACATGTGTAGTTGAATGTGCATTGTGCATTGTCTGAAGTTCGATTGTGCAAGTAGACATTCACATGAAAGTGTGTTTGGAAGTTTGTAAGGTGATATTGAAATTTCTAAAAGTGCATTCTTTAAAAGTGCACTTGCAAGTTATTGAATTGCTTGAAAACTGTTATTAAATTTCTTAAAAGTGAGATTTTTTTAACGTAAAGTGCAATGTGATATATGTTTTGTGTTGGTGTGGTGAACGTATAGTGATGTGTTCAAATAGTGCAGTGTGTGAAGTTCGAATGTGCAAGTGGACATTCTCTGAAAGTGTTTTTGGAAGTTTGTAAAGTGATATTGAAATTTGTTAAAGTGCATGATTTAAAAGTGAAGTTGCAATTTATTGAAATGATTGAATGTGTTATTAACTTTCTTAAAGTGCATTGGTTACACGTAAAACGATTAGTGTGATTAATGTTTGAAAGCGTAGTTGCAAGTTACTAAAGTGCTATTATAAGTGCATAAAGTGCAGTGTGCATTGTTTGGAAGTGTACTTCCTGTGTATTGTGTATTGTGGTAATAGACTTGGAATGTGAAAGTGGTATTGGAAGTAAAAAAATTGTAAATAGTCAAAGTGTGAAAGTATTCATAAAGTGCATGGTTTATAACTACATTGTGATAATATTCTGAATATATTTATTAAAGGGTGATTGGAAGGTCATAAAATGCTATTTGAAGTTCATAAAATGCATTGTAGGTCCTCAAAGTGTGAAAGTATAGTTATTGGAAATCATGTGAAACCGTAATGGTAATTGGTTTGAGGCTTTGAAACTGTACTTATTTTGAAAGTGTATTTGTTTATGCATAAAGTGCATGGTGATATGTGTGTTGTGGTTTATATCAATGCATCATTTACTTACAAAGATGCATTGAATTTCGAATTATAGAAAACGAGGACACAAGGCTGCAGGCTGTTATGAAAGACAAAGGAAAAAGATCAAGTGTATCAGCTGGTCATGAAACCAAACAAAGAAGAGTCAAGAGACAGAGGAAAGCAGTAATTGAAGAAGAAAGTGATGATGATTTTGTGGAACAACCACTTGTTGATGCTGATGGAAGTGAGCTGATTGAAACTGTGGGAAAGAAAAGAAGTATAAAAGAGCTCAAGTCTAGCTACAGGACAATACGTACGAGATCATCACCACATGTCCTAGTTAAAGCTCTGAGTGGGATGAGTAAAGCTCAGAAGTCAGACATAAAAAAATAGGCTTTGGTGCTTTGTTTGATCTGGATGTAGCTGAAGTTCCAGGGAGGCTTGGTTATTGGGTGGTTGATAATTTTGAACCCAAACAATGCTCGTTGGTGCTGCCAACTGGTAGTAAAGTGCGTATAACAGTTGAAGATGTTGCAAGAGTGTTCGGTTTCCCATTAGGAGGGAAAAAAATAGTGCAAAAGAAGAAAAACGAAGACTGTGCTTTGCTCCAAGAATGGAAATCTATATTTGACAAAGAGGACTCCAAAATCATCCCCTCTGATGTTTGTGCAGCAATGCTGAGCAAAAGTTAAGGAGGTGAGTGGTTCAAAAGACACTTCATGGTGCTTGTTGTATATTTGCTAGTTGACATCACACAAAATGGATATGTCAATCCATTGATAATGAATCAGTTGGAAGATGTAGACAAGATAAGTGAACTTGATTGGTGTGACCATGTTCTTAATTGTCTAATTGAGAACAAAGTTTCATGGGAGAAGAAGAAAGACAAAGCTTTTACCGGTCCATTGTTGTTTTTAATTGTAAGTTAAATAAATGAAATATGATTTCAGGGTTTTAGCTTTGATTTGCTATTTGCTTCTAACTGTATTAATAAATATTTTTGGTGCAGTTGTTCTATGTGGACCGTGTCGATTTATACAAACGCAAAGTGACTAGGAAAGTACCAGTGTTGAGCGGGTGGAACGGAAAACTGCTACGGGATAGAGAATGTCTGCAAATAGAGACAGGGGGGTTCGGAATGGGGTACTGTGACGGGCCAATGAATATTGAAGGGTCTTTCAAGAAGAATGAGCTGAATAATGAAAAAGAAACGGTTGAGGAAGAGGGAAGTGGACAGGGAATATTGGTGAGCTGCACCGCTGGGGGAAGTGCTGAGGTATGGTTTTAAAAACGCGTGTTTCAGACATTGTAAATTTAACATATGTTTTTGCATGGGTGTGCACAAGAAAGAACGTAACCTGTGGTTAAAATTTACAGGAATTTGTGATGACGTTCGCACAGAAGACCAAACTCCTGGCAGCAACCCTGCGTCTTTTTTTCTCATCATCCTTAACACATACGCCTGCGTCTTTTTTTCTCATCATCCTTAACACATACGCCAGGAGTTGGTATATCTTCAATGTGTGGTTGCTCTTCATTTTCACATCCATCAGATTCAGATGATTCATTTTCAATAGTGAAATCTTCATTCTCAATAATTAAGTCATTATCTAAATCAACATTGTTGCATGAATCAGTGTTAGGTGCAACCTTGTTAGATTTAGATACGTTTTTGAAGCCCTGTCTATTACACACCATATATTTCCAAACAATAACACCATCGCGAGCCCTCGATTGACTGCTTTTACGTGATTCAAAACCACAGACTGATGCATAGTGGTCATAAAAAAGCATACCATCACGTAAGGTTTTGAACAACATACCAACACGCGGTTTTAAAGCAGGATCGCAATCAGGTGTCCAATACATGGTGGATCCAGGAGAAACTTGCATTGTATTGACATCAAACGATTGAGAAATTGATGTAGATGCACTGAAGGGAACGTCATTCGTACCTGATGGAACCATGGTCACAAATGATTCACAAACACATGGTTTAGCACACAAAGTAGAGTAAAAGTGCAACATCAGAATGCAATCAAGAGCATCGTACTAAAATATAAATGTGCACAAGAAAAATATTCAGAAATTTTTAAAATGCATATAACCACAATTTTCACGAATGATATAAATTACGAATAGTTAAGCTACAAGCACATTACGTACAATATCTTAATGAAACTAAGAATAACCCAGCAACACTCTATGGTATTATATCAAATTTGTGTACTACCTCACATAATCACCCACAAAAAAGATACAAATATATATGAATTCACGGAAAAACAAAACAGAGTAAAGTAAAAGTGCAATATGAGATGAAATAAAAGAGCATCGTAATACAGCTTAAAGTGCACAAGCAAGAAACTCAGAAATTTTAATATGCACATAACCCAATATTTTAATGATTTATATACATTAAGAATGGTCAAGCTACAAGTGCATTACATACAATATCATGAGGAAACGAAGATTCATCAATCTATATTGTATTGAATTATATCCAATTTGTGTACTACCTCACACAATCAACCAAAACACAAACGATACAAATATATATGAAATAACATGAAGCAGAGAGTATTACTAACCGAAATAATGGATGAAATAAGAAAAACAGAGAATTAAACTAACCGAAC